GCTGTCAATCCTAGAATAATGATGGAGAACGAGACAGTTACCTAAATGACTTCTTGTTCTTTGCTATGCCTAAAGCTTCATTTTTCACCAAGACAGCATTGTTGCTGGGACTGCAGTGAGTGATTTTCTTTAATGAGGGCAGTATATAGGATCCCTGGTGGCCACAGCTGAGAAGTGCTGAGCTGACTGTGATGCTTGAGTATTGTTAGGGCTTTGTAAATATGTCTTAGGAACCTTCTGCATTGCAGTTCACGGTCCATGCAGCTTCTGGAGCTAATAATTATTCTCTCTTCTTTGATGACACTTTCCATGGCTTTTGTGCTAGGTTTTTTTTCCTGTTCTAATTTTCAGAGGCTGAAGGAGTGAACAGTCTGACAGTCCTCTCTGTTCTGCTTGAGTATATACTGTACTTTGTCTTCTGATTCCTCTTTTTCCTTTTTTTGTCCCCTCAGGGATACTATACAGGGATATCTGTAACTTTTAAAGCACTCGTGCTCTGGTTACTTTTTCTTATCAGTATATTCGATACATCCTTTTGAGAGATCTGCAATCAGCTTGAACTACATGTAATCATGTTCGGGAAGAAAAACTAAGGAAATTTTTTTTTTTTTTTTTTAAAATCTCCAGTGTCTTCTACTTCTGTTTGTCACTCTCAATCTTGGAGGTCATCTTTTCTCTTTATTGTGTGGTTGGGTGGTTTGTTTTTAGATGTGTTCCTGCTGCCATCAAATTTTACTGTGGCTTTCGCTGCTCATCATAAATTCAGTCCTTTCTTTCAGCTCAGGAGCTAAAGTGGTTGTATGCACCCTGGTTAACTTACATTTCAATTACTTCAGGAACAGCCTCTTTGTCTAATCCCTATGCTTTCTGTAACTAAAATGACTGTCTAAAATTGGTTTTGGTTTTTCAGTTGGACCTCGAGATTGAATTGCCAAGCAACAGGCAGTTAGTGTTGCTGTGAGCTTAAAGCTGCATGTAGCTTTAGGCTGCATGTTATAGTCCCTCTGTATATTGCCTTTTTTTATTCTTGCTTTTTTTTTTTCAATCCTCACATACTTTAGTTATTGGTGGGTGGTTTGTTTTTTGGTTTTTTTTCTTTGCTTGTTCACTGATTTCTAGGCCCTTTCTGTTCAGTTTTTGGTCTCTTCTTACTCGTGTCACTTCTGAAGATCCATTCTTACTTATACATGTCAGTTTCAGTCCTATTCTTCCTTTCCTAGCATTGCAGAAGAAATAATTGTCCTAAGTTTCATAATATATACTTCTATTATTTGTGGCTTTCTCCAGTCATTCTTGAACAAATGTTTGATGTGGTCTCAATTTCAATATGTAGGTGTTATACCAATGATTATTTTGAAGGAGGATTTTTCACAACCGTGTCTGAAAATTGCTGGTCTAGAAACGAAGTGTCTTTGGATGAGCAGGCTGGGTTCCGGGGCCAAGCAAACACAGAAGTCAGATCCTTCAGACTGACCTTTTCCAGCAGGGAAGTTTGGCTCTCTGGAGGTTGCTTTCCCAATGGCAAAGTTTTAGCAGACTGCTTTGTGTGAGCCTGCTTTTCAGCAGAGAGCTGGCTCTGCTCAGTTAGAAGTAGGTAAGTGGCCACCCAGTACTTAGCGCAGATTTAATCTGCACGCTGGTAGAGACAGGACTTGATAGAAATAGTTCAATAGTTCTTTCCTTACCAGTGAAGTATTGATAAGATGTAAAATATCTCTCATATAGAGAATATTATTTTTTCTGTTCATTTTAATCTGATAACTATTCCTTTTTCCATTTTTAAATTTCTGTAACAGAAGTTGAATTCTTAAGCTCCATTGCATGTGCCAGTCACTATTCTGTCTTAACAAGACAACACGAAGAAGTCTTTGTACTTTACCTTCTGCCATGGACAAAATACCCAATTGGAAAAACTACTGAAGAGAGAGTATGGTGAAATAAGGTTGTGTGCATGGAAGAGCAGGTAGAAGCAGTTAATGCAATTTCACTGTATGTATGCTAGGAGGTTTATTTTAGAGGTATTCCTAGTCATGGTGAAGACCTTATGGGATTTCTGTAATTTGAAGCATTGTATGTGGGAGTGATGGGTGACTGTGGGAGTAGTTGTACCATAAGTCACTCAAGGGGGTGAAATTGAAATAATCAAGGTCGTGCAGCCTGGCTCCATTCTGCTGTTACTTTATTAGTTCTTTTTCCTATTTATTTGATCTAGACAAACCCTCCCAGTTTTTTGGTGTGTTGTGTGCTTGTTTTCCTGTAGGTCACTTTTGATCGTAGAGCATTAAGACTTCTCCTGACATAACAAATGTCCACAGTTGATTACAGCTGTGGAGCACAAAGGGAGAGACTGACATAGCTGCATACTTGCTGCATTAGACACTGCCGAAGAGATGGGCTGCTGTTTTGCCCTTTCTTTTGAGATACTGCCAATAGGCAGCACTAAGTCTGAGGAGACGTTTGTGCTGTTCCTTCTAATTATGTTATGGAATTCGTCCTAATTGCCAAATTCAATATTTTTGAAGTGTTAAGCATTACACATATTGCTTAAAAATTCTTTTATTGTGATGCCTTTTTGTTCTAAAAATAATGTTGGGGAATATGGATGTAGATTTTTATTCTGTGCAATTTGAAGTAAAAATGAACCTTACAAAATGAGATTTGAAACCATTGCTGAATTTATTGTGTGAGGCTTTGTAGTGTTCTGGAGTAGATATACCAGAACTTCAATGAAAACATCTGTAAAGATTTTCAGTAGTCAGTATTTATAGTTGTCTCTATACTATACTGATAATTTAATCTGATTATTGAGATTTTACATTTTTAAGTTCAGCCTTGGTTTCTTACCACTTGATGGCAGTGAAGGAGCTAGTGTTGCCAGGCAAAGGTTCAGGGCAAGAACCCATTATGAATAACAAAAGAGGAGGTACAAAGGAAGCCTCTGACATTTAATATTGTTCACATTTCTAGGTGATATTACATATACCACAAATGACAGTAGAGGAAGAAAAGCCTCTAGATGGAGCTTCAGTACTTCCAATGGGGGAGAGATTTTTATACTCAAGTGGTTTGCTCCTATTTATAATAATTATTTTAAACAACAACTTTCCCATTTAGGAATGGAATGATACCAGACATAATCAATAAGTAGTATCAGTGCTTCTGCTATTATAAACATACTATACGTCCTGAAGAGCATGCAATTCTGACATTTTTCTCACACCTTCTGTTCAAGACCTACAGCTTCTCAACATTCTTAGGAATTCTCAGGTATTGTTAGAAATGTGCGATGTAGATTAAGGATCAGCATAATTATTCAAGCTTTTTTTTTAAAAAAAGATAATTGGATTTTACTGGTGGACCAAAAAGAGAAACTTGAAAAATACTGTTCAAATTGGAAACTGCCCTGCAGTATTTACTGTTTTGCATGGTCTAGTCCCAGTGAAGTGTTTGTTGTAACATCAAATATGGCAATGCACGGATGTGTGTTTGAGGCACTTTATTAGTGGAGGTTCTTTTGCACTTCCTACACCCATGTACACCTCTTGCCAAGCTGGTATGGGGAAATGAACCATATAATGGCCCTGCTATAGTAATTGGCTCCACATGGGTGGACTCTAGAGCACAGACAAAACCTTATTTGAAGTAATTGGCGCTTTGTGTAGGTACAAGGGTCTGTACATGCAGATTTATTTTGGATCCTGGGTCAAACCTTGGCATTAGTAAAGGTTTCAATTTCATGCAGCGTCTTTGACATGTAAGTGATTTTGAATGAGTATCAAAAACATCCATGCAGATGATAGCAAGCAACTTGATTGAACTTGTTTGTTAAAAATACACATAGCTAATATTTTGCAGTTATATTTTTGATTGAATACTAAATAAAGAACTTGGCTTCTTAAGTTTTGTGAATGTTTAGCCTGTTACTAATTTTAGAAAATATTGAAAAAGCAAATTATAAGTTTGCATAATTATTAAATATCTTAATCATTAGCAGCATTATTCTAGTTCTGTAATAGGCAGTACTACATAAACTCACAGTTGAAAATAAGTGAAAATTTACTGGAGTTATCAAATATTTACTTTGGTTTCAGATGCCATTCTTATTTTTAAAGAGCATTCTTATTTTTAAAAAGCATTCTTATTTTTAAAAAGCAGTTAGGCGCATTATTTCTAGTATTAGCTGGCATCTCAGCCTAATTGACGGATTGCTGTTGCTGGTTTAATATAATGGCAGACAGAGCATACTTACTGGGCAAAATTCGAGTTTATCTTATCAAGTAAGTATCAAATACATATTCTGTCTAGTGGTAAAAAGAAAGGGTTAGAAGGCAGGGTTGAAGATAGTATAGTATTTAGAATGATCGCTTCAGCCAGTGGAGACTCATTTGCTGGAAATGCCCGTGTGAGATTGTAGCATTTCTTCATCTGTGGCATTAGTTCATCGTGTGGCATAAAATGGTATTGAAATTAGTTTCTTGTCAATGCTATTTTGAGTAAGATTTGTTAGAAAACAATGAAATTTTACTTCATTACGTGATGTGGGTTGGCTGCATTTATTTCAACGTCAGTGGAAAATCTTAGCTACTGTGGTGCAATACAATTTTAAGAGAACCTAGTGCAAGCTTTTCCAGCTGCTACTATTCGATTTAGGGGAATTTGAAATTTGAAAGGTAAAAAGAAAATTATCACAGCATTTGGAACATGAAATCAATTTGGTTTAGGAAGTTAGTGTTAATCTTGCTCTGTTTGCTTGCCAGGCTGAACAGCATAATTGCCAAAAATCAGATATGGGAAAAATACATTCATTTGTGCAAAATAAATTTTATTCTTCTAGGTGATTGTCAAGAATTTTAGTAAATGTAACTTTAAAAAAATCTGTTTTAGTTGTTGTTTGTTTTTTTTTTCCCCCGAGACATAAACTTACCTAGCAGCTGGGCAATTTATTCATTCAGGGATTTATGTTATATGACTTCATACAATTGTTAAATCTTGTCTTCAAGAAATTACTTTTTATAAAAGGGGGAAAAAAAAGGCTCTGGGTGTAATGCAACTCTCACACTTCCTGGAGGGTAACTAGTTTGTACTAAATAGTTTCTGTATTAATCAGTGCAGTAGTGGCAATTCCCCAGAAGCAATGTGTTATTTTTATTTCTCCTTATCTGGTTAAGAGTTGCAGATAATAGTAAAGGTCTCAATTTCTAGGTTTCATCTCTGTTAAAGTCAGCAAATTCATATTGATCTTCTAAAAATCCTTTGGCTTTTTTCTTTTACTGTGCTAACACTTGGGGTCATTTTTGCCCTGACATTCTCTCTTTGTTATATCTTGATATTAACTTTATCATTAAAACTTTGAGGTTCTTTGGCATTAAAAAAACGTTGATGGCATTTTATTTATCCTTGACTGCTGAGCAAATCTCAAACAGTTACTTCCTGTTTGGGTTGAAGGAACAAGTGAATTCTTGGAAAAGGCATAAAATTGCACAAATTAGCAACCAATATATGGAGTAAATTTCCTTGAATATTCCTAGATTCACTACTGATGTGTATTTTGAACAAAGAATTAATTCCATATCTGTAGGCAATACTTAACTTTGTCATTTAAAAGTAAAAATGCCCTACCAGAACTGAAGACTTGATACTATTGTGGAGTTCATTTTTACCTTAGCTTAGTTTTTAATAGTGATGGAACAGATTCACTAATTATAACTACTGAATTAGTGAAAATAACCAGAAGTTTCCCTTCTGTGGAGAGATCTTCTAAACAATTTTATTTTAGTTTATTAGAATCATAGAAACATAGGAAAAAAGCTGATAAAACCGATCATATAAAACGGTGTAATGATTAGCACTTCTTGTTGTAATGTTTAGTGAGAGCAGAATAAATAAGTATGAAGAAAATAAAATTGCTCATAGAATTAAGTCTTCATGTTTTTGTTTTATTTTGCCGTAAGAGAGCCTTTCAAAATTGGAATTTCATTGTGTTGCAACTCATTAATGCAGTGAGCAGCAAGGTTTTTTTTGTGTGCCCTTATTCGATACCTAAATTTCAGACTCAATTAAAGATTTCTGGAGACTCATTCAGTAAAGAAAGCAAAAAAAAATTTCCTCTTTTGTTGTTTTATCACTTAAGCTTTTTTACTTCTTGTGTCTGGTTTTATTTGTACCTCCTGTTAATAGTAACAATTAACTGAACAAATATTCTTGACTTGTCTTTTAAAAATATTTTTCTTTTCACTTTTTTGGTATAAATATTGATCTAGAAATATGGAAACTAATTATAGTTGTATCTTGGTGGATCATATCCCAATTTCCTTTTGTCGTTTCCTCATTTTTGAGAGTTGCTTCTCTCCCCTAGATCCCTGCTTGGTCTTACCTAACATTATTAGTTGAAAAGGGGTGGGTGGTAGTAAAGACTTTAAAAAAATTTTGTTAAAGTCTTTCAGGTGAAGAACATTACATAAAGTATGTATGCATATAGATTATAACCTATGTGTTGTGTGTAAAGTCTGTCTAAGTTAAGATGATTATGGAAATTGCCCTCATTTCAGTTTTTCAAGGAACGCTTGCTATGCTAAGAATCCTTTATAAACAAGACTCTTTCATGCAACTCTAGATCAATATAAACAGAAAGGTTTTCTTGGGTAAGATAAAAAGTTCTCCATATGTAAAGTTGTCTTGCTTGTAAAGGTGCCTGTAATTTTTCAGCTCATGGATATTTAAGTCTGACTCTAGATCTATAAATATTATTGAATAAAAGCTTAGCGTGCCTGTCAGTTTATTTGGGAGCATAATTCTACTAGTGTTTAGGCAGCAGTCATATTTGAACTCCCATGTAATACATGCACGAGTCCTAGAATTCCTGGAAACCTGCGGAGCTGGAATTTTAATCTTTAAAACAATGTTTTTTAATTGCATGCAAATTTTGATTGCCCCATGTGGGAATAGTATAGTTCTGTATTTTAAGTTATTCTTTTATTCTTACATAGTGCGGGAAAACTACATCAAATATAAAAGACATGAAAAACTGTTTCAAAAAATACGACTACAAATACTTAGATTCTTGTTCTGTTTTTTAAGAAAAGACTTGGATTATTCATGTTTATTCATCTTGATGGAATTTGTCTTCCAGGGTACATAAGGCTTTTTAATTCTTAGTCAAATGTTCTACATTAAATGTGATAAAATGAGATAGAGGTGATACAAAAGTATTGTAAGTTTGTCTTGTATTGATAAATGCTAAAATGCTGTTCACATAAGTAAAACAGTTCTGGATTATTTATAACTTCTGAAAATGTGCCTCACAAATTATATTTCAACAAGATTCCAAGTAATTTGGATAAAAAGTGTTTGCAGTCATTTGTGGTCTGAAAGTAGACATCTCCATTTGTGCTTCTGGAGTACCCTCACGTGTAGAGAAGTTCTGCTGAATTATTAAGGAAGAACTTTGTTGTACCATAACAGAATTGGTAATTAAAACGGTTAGCCAGTTTCTCATGCGGCTGCCGTTATTTTTAGAATCTCATTACTTTCATTATACTTGAGAGACTTTGCAAGGTTCTGGGTCTTGTGCTTCTTTGTCTTAGATGATAAAAATACATGTGCCTTGCAGAAAGTGCTTGGTAAATACTTCTGGGTCTTTTGAGACAAAAAGTACACTTTCCTGCAAGAGAATCATCAGTTGCCTGGACACTGCGTGTTTCAGAACTGTCCGTCTACACCTGGGCTCATCTGCTTGTAATACGTGCAGTCTCCTTCCCCTTCCTAATTGATGCACTCGGTTTAATGATTTCTCCCTGCCCTTCTAAAATGATACAGCATATGCTGGTTTTTAGTTCTGTGCAGATACCAGTCTGCTGCTGCATATCTCTCAGAAACATTACACTTCTATTGTTTTAAGGAATAATCCATTTTATGTTATATTTGTGTTAAGATTTGTAATTTGAAATAGGCAAGCTGATAACTAGCCAGATCATTCTGCAATTTAGTGGAGCCTGTTAGAATCAAAATGATTCTTCAGAGAGCTGGGGTTTATTTGAAGAGGGGGGGGACCACTGCTTGTAAGGTAGTATTATGAAGCAGGTCTGCATTGCTTATGCAAATATTTTTTTCCTTTTTGAATCTGCTTGTTTCTCTGTCTTTTTGTACAACAACCATGTACCTTAATATTGCTTTTAAAGACTAGTAGCAAATTTCCGGGACTGCATACTGTAAAATCAGGGAATGTCAGTTTTCAGAATGTCTCAAATCTTAATTTGGTTTCTTTGTGCTTGTTCATTGTGATGATTTTTAATTCACTACATTATATTCTACAGGGTCTTTACTTATTCAGGCTCAGGGAGAGATGTGGCCCCAGTGCAGCTTCGGGCTTATGTATTGAAAGAGACTGTTGTCTGTAAAAACTGTTTAACCTGTAGATGTTGAGGGTATGTAGAGAGTGGGGGAGAAGATTGCAGGGAAAAAAAAAATGGTTTCATGGGTAAGCTAGTCAGACGAAAAGTGCCCTTGAGGATTGGATTCTGTTCCTCTCTCTGCCACAGAATTCCTATGTGATGCTAGGCAAGTCATTTAAACGAAACTTTTCCCAAGTGGTGACTAATTGATTTGAGTGCTCTGCAATTCTGGTTGCATAATTTGAGATACTAGGGGCTTATATGCAGAAATGCCGAGGGTTTGCAGCTGCAGCTGAAGTCGATTAAAGTCTGTGCTCTGAATGTATGGAATGTTGTTTGATACTGAACACTTGGAAAAATCATAGCTGAGATAAAATTAGCACCTGAGATTACTGAAGATTCTACCTTAATCTGTGCCTCATTTTGCAATCTATAAAAAAAGGAAAGTAATGCACACTTGTCTCTTAAGTTATTACAATGGTGAATAATATTATTGATGAACTCTGATGCCATTGAGATGGGCTTCAAAACAAATAACCACAGCTTCCAAATGTGTTTGAACAGCATGCAGCTAAGAGCAGATGAGGCCACACATGAACAAATGTGTGGAGAAAAATACTGAATAGCTGCTCACTGGGTAAGCAGTCATCTTCTGTATGTTGCATAAAGACAGTGTGGCAGGAGTAACAACGACAGATTGTAGTTCCTTTTCAGGGAACCACCGAGTTCTTCCCAAATCTTCTTTACCTGTTCAGAATACTCATTATTATCTGTAGCATGTATTATCTTTATCATATTTCTGTTATCCCTTAATTTTTAAACTGTAAGTTTATATTTTAGATTTAATTAAACTCAAATCTTATCAACAACCTCATTATTTTTTTAACAATAGCTTCTCTTGCTACTTTAAAAAAAATTATCTTTTGATTCAAAGAACAAAAATAGAACTTGACCAAAAATTTTTATCTTTTTGGTCTGTTTGCCAAGAGTGTGCTCTTTGTCGACATTGCCACAGGGTATACAGTTTCCACTGCTGGCATCTGCCTAAAGTTGGCTCAGGGTTTGTGTGGGACCAATTGGAAGAGGGGAGCTAGACGAGGAAACAGACTGATTTTAGTCCCCTTCTTCTTTTCTTCCTGCTTCCTCAGTTTCTTCACTCTGCAGTAAATATTTCTTTTATTTTGGCCAGTGGTACTTACTATGACTGATTTTTTTCAGAAATAGTTTTGCAATATTTCTGCCACCACTGTTCTGTGTTTGGGTTTTTTTCCTTCCAAAAAAGACAAGTTATGAGAGGAAGAAATTGCATCTGATGGAATCCTTTTTCATTTCTTGGATTTGATTCCATGGCTGGGGTTATGAGACAGAGGGAAATGTGCCTTTGGCCTATTATTGATACTTGTAGGATTGTCAGTAACAGAATGCTTTTTTCCATGTAGTAGCTTGCGGACTTGCAGTTTCAGTCCTTTCCTCTCCACCTGTGTCAAAAGTTACCTACTAAATATATTCTTGCTTGTCTGTTGATCTTTCTCTTAGTCTTGACTTCATAACTTGAAAATTTGGGGGAGAACCCATGTTAGGATTTATCTTTGCTTCATCTAAGTCCCATGATCACAAAACTTTTCCTGTAGCTTTTGCATTTGAAATATTCTACATTTGTCAGTGTTTCTACTTGAGGCAGTAGGACCACAGTTTTGTCTTCCGACTTTCACTGTTACCTTT